AATGAATATATTCGCCCCATTTCAACTGAAATCTATTGATGTCACAGCCTGTGCCAATCGAAGTTTAGACGTCGTGGTGAGTGGCTGTTGGGAAATTGAAATTTGCCTTTAGGGTAATCAGATATTGATGAACTGGTCCAGATCCTCCACTGGAGTCAACAGATGGTTGAACATTGTTTGATGTGCTGACACGTTCTCGGGTGGTAGCGTTCCCCGTCCACTTAACAATCCATGTCAGTCAGTCACTCTGTTTGCTAGTGTTTTCCAGTGAGTCAGGTCTACTCACATAAAATAGCATGAAATATGACATAGTAAGTAAGCCATAGAATATGAAACACAATATCATTTCTGAACAACATTCGGAAAATTGATTATGATAAGTGTACATTTTGAAACGAAAGGTCTATTTTCTTGGATTGTACAAATCTACAAAAGATCAATCATTTTGAACAAAATAAATTGAAACCGTACATATAAACCAAACAAAAATAACAAAAATCTCCAAACCAGTTAAATTTTTTCCCGTTTTGTTTTGTTTGATTTGTTTGTTTGTTTGTTGTTTAATGCTGCACTCAACAATATTCCAGCTATATGACGGCGGTCTGTAAAAAATGCAGTCTGGACCAGACAATCCAGTGATTGACATCATGAGCATCCATCTACGCAAATGAGATACGATGACATGCATCAACCAAGTCATCAACCACTCGATCCCGTTTGTCGCCTCTTCAAAAATAAAAACGTGACAAATACAAAAATGTGAATGTTTTTTAGAGATATGAGGAAGGAATCTCTTATAAAAAAACGGTCTAAAAAGTTATCAACTCAACTAGCACATATTAACATGTCACTCCAGACCATGTAGGGTGTTTTGGATATACAATGAACGACTCGGTTCCGACCTCCCGTCACTCCTTGAGGCATTGCTCAATTATTGGGGAAACATTGGATGTTGCATTTCTTACGTTCATATTGTATAACTGAGGTAGGTTATATTTCTTCATCATTTGAACGAGGATCCACTCACCCGTCGAATTCACTATAATATAGAAAAGAAACACTATTTCTTGCAAAAAGCATGCTTTATTGTTAACAATTGCGTTTGTTTGTATGTTGTTTAACGCCACACTCTGCTAATATTCCGATAATAGTCAGATTAATGTGGGAGGAAAGCCCGGAGTGATACAGGTCTCAGACGTTTACCACTTCGGTGAAACCCACGAGCAAGGGTATGGTGCTGACAAACCTAGAAACATAATCGTGGGGAACCGGGATTCGAACCCACAATCATAGGTTTCTGGCATGCCCAAGGGACGCAACTCTGCACAGCGAATCGCGGCGCCTTAGACGACTGGGCCACCCGTGACCGCCTCCGTGGTCCAGTGGTAGAGCGTCCGCCCGGAGAGCGGAAGGTCCGGGGTTCGACCCCCTGCTGCGTCATACCCAATGACGTTAAAAGATGGTACTTGTTGTTACCCTGTCTGGTGCTCGGCATTAAGGGGCTAAAACAAGGACTGGTCTGCTCGGAGTCAGTATACTGTGTCTGAGTGGGGTATTCATGTTAGTCACCTCACCTCACCTCACCTCACCTCACCTTACCTCACCTCACCTCACCTCACCTCACCTCACCTCACCTCACCTCACCTCACCTCACTTCACTTGAGAAGGACAGCTCAATTTCTCTAATTACACTTATGATTGAATTCAGCGGCATCGGCAATATTTGATACATATATTGTGTGTAGATTTTAAAACCATTTTGACGGTTTTCCTTTTTTGTCTGATCTGCTTTTTTATTAAATGAGTTCTTACCTTTTTAGAAACGAAATAGTGGTAACTTGTTGTTTTTAATTATGGACTATGCCATGAAGCATCGGTTAATCATCTCATTTCCATTACTCACTTTGCTTTTGTTTAAAGACACATCTGATGTGTCGAAATTTACATATAGTTGGAATATGCGACGTTAAACAACAAAAAAGAAATTTGTAAGCTACCCTGTTCATCTCTATGAGGGCAATGATAATTAACCCGAAACCAAAGCAGCGGTATTGTCAAATTGTCGTCATGAACGTGCTACTGTCGACCCCAGAGACTTCACAAATAAGCCTACCAATTTCAGAATACATCCCACTGCTCTCTTCCATAGTTCTAAAGTCTGCGTACTGTGGTACTGGTTTGGGCCATGTTATGTGTACAGAAAGTGTATCATTCCTCCAGTCAAAGGGGTGGCCGATAGCGTCATTTTCTAAAGGTTGTATATAGCCTGGGACCCATGTTGGGTGGCAGGTTCTTCCCCAGCACATCACTTGCAGGCGATGGGAGATATGCACGGTCTCAGGGTAGCGTTCATACGTTCTGTAAGGCATGCGTATCGGGTTATAGTCCCACCAGTAGGAAAAGTAATTCCTGCGATATGTCCTCAGAAACGCAGCCAGGTATTTTGAATTGGCTTTGGCTATAACAATTCCTAAATTGAGGGATTCTGGCCACGAATCTCTCTTTGGCCAATCGTAGCTCAGGACTGTGTCGTAAGCCAATAGTCTGTCTGGGATTCGTGATACCCAGTATACATCCGGGTCATGCGTTACCCCGCCATATTTGAGCAGCACGTATGCCTTGGCCACGTCGGCGCTATGTTGTGGGATACGGATATGTTGGTTGTAGACGGTGTTGACAAGATCCATGAAGATAAAGCTGACGTTGTGCTCCTTCTCCAGATAATCCCAATATATGCCCGATGGCTTGGTGTCTCCGTGGAAATACGCTCGATCCATACCTGCTATGTATAGAGAACCAAGGACACTGAGCATATATGAAAAACCGAAGGTCCTGTTCCCAAACCATATGAAATGGGAAATTCGCGGAGCAAGGTTTTTGAAATCCTGAATCGGTTTTAACACTTTCGTTGTTCCATATGCGACCAACCGTGAAAGTTCAGCTGATTTGTTTGTTGTCATTAATATATCCTTAGGGTAAAAACTGTTCGTGAAAATAAGACACGAGCAATCATCCGACGACATTTCGTACTGATCCTTAAGGCAACAGACAAGATCGCCACCGTCAGTGTCATTACCTTTCCCTTTAGTAACAGAAAGAAGACCTTCCCAGCTCTCTCGTCGTACTAAAGCCTTAAGAGATCGAGCAGCCCAATCGTTAGCAGTGAATCTCTTAATAAGTGTGTTCTCTCCAACAAAGATTCCTCCATGTTTGACAAGAGTCGCGAACACTGTGATCATCCTGAGAGATCCATTAACACAGATGTGGTCCTTCCCCAGACTATCCAGCACAAAGTTTGGCAGGTGGTCCTGAAGTTCTTTGAACCAGGTGTAATAGTTATCATCAACCGGGGCATGCGTATAATGAAAAATAATCATCATTGGCTGGAGCACCTTCACCACGCTCAGGACGCTCAAGTAGTTCTGGAACTCGAACACACCCTGCTTGCACCAGAAGTAATGGACAGTTGATGGGACGAGATCACTGCGTAACTCACGTGGATTACTGTTAAAGTACGGAGGACCGGGGTATGGTTGCTCGAGCATCCACGATGAGCCGGCCATGTAGTTCCCATTTGGAATCTGCTCCTGCGGTCTGTCGTTTCCTGCCGTACTGACCTCTGCATTTGTATCAGCAATTGTTCCATGGTCTGACAGAGAAGCATATGTCATAGATGACGTCATTGCATCTTCTGTCGATGTTTGACTAGTGGTATCAATGTCAGCAATGTCGGTGTATATGGGGCTGTGCCATTGAGGCTGGAATTTGTCTCGAGGTTTGGCGGAGGTATCGAGGGAGTTCGCAATCATTACTGGAATGGGGGATCCTGACATGGAGTAGTGTAGATGTAGTCGAATGTATAGAGCAATTAGCAGGATGCTTGTCACGACCAGACATGCAGTCCTGAAGCCATAAGATGAAGACCTCATTCTGTTCCCCTTGCGATGAGTCAGATGTGGAGATGCGCCATTCCCTGAAAGAAACATGTATAGTAAGTGAATTTGTTCAAAGACCACTTTTTGGCTAATCCAGCATAATGGCAGTAGTTGGTTAATCGCCGTATTCATTTTAGGAATCAAACCTGGAAAATGCTTCTTTCACTTGGCTTCTATCACAGTGACTGAGTATTTTTTACTATATTTTAGCAATATTTCAGCAATATCACGAACTGGACGTCAGGACATATTTTACACATGTGGGAAATCGAACACGGGCCTTCAGCGTGACAAGCTAACGATGCAACCAGTAGCCTACCCACCGACCCATGTACTTGTAAGAATTTAGCCAGAATTCATATAACAGAACAAACGGAAAGGCCCATACCTGTGCATGGAGAAGATGGGTCTTCGTGTTGAAGGACTGGCAGTGCGTCACTGAATGCGTGAGTCATTTGTCTGCCAGAAGATGAACTGGTAATCTCCACAATCAATTCAATACAATTTATCACAGTCCTAAATCCAATTTCGGATTCTCCATTTCTTCTCGGATAACCAGATGTGCTCCGATATTAACATCAATCGACATCAATAATGTGTAATAGGTGACAATCACACCTGACCCCTCCCACCTGCAATTGATTAATTAGAGAAAAGGTGAAGATCGATGTTACATTATATATGATCTGTATCAGGCATAGTAAAAACCGGTGATGCTGATGGTGATCCAAGATGCTGCTGCAATATAACTCTCCAGTGCATGTGCGGATGTCAATAGTGACAGTTGACTGTTGCATCACTTATAGGAGACTGCAAATCAGCATTAGTCAATCAAGCTACCTGAAGACAATGCATATTCTGTATCTGACGGTATCAGTTGTGTAAGATCACATGAAGAAAGTATCAGTTTTTCCAACCTGAACAATCATGATTTTTTTCTTGAAATCATTCAGTTTACTACTAGCAGTCATATCAGGACTGGTGGTAATTGCTTATCTAAGTATTGTGGAGAGGGGGAATATCTACTTTATTCCAACTACTAACTTGCATCGTGATAATTCCACAATGCAGTCAAGGACGTTTGCATCAGTTTCTGTGTTCAACTTCTGGCAAAATGGGTTTGTATCCGAACTGACTGATATTCCAAGTGTTGAGAGCAGTGTTCCACGTTCCAGAGGACTCTTGCAAGCAGAAGACCTCACATCTGATCCGGTGGCAGAAACGGTTCATTATTTCTGGTGCCAGAAGAAAACGTTTCAGTTTCAGCATTATGTGAGTGTGCTTAGTGTTGTGAAAGCTCTCGAACCGTTATCAATCGTTATCCATTACTCATCAAAACCCCGGACTTCCTTGTATTATACTTGGCTTGGCGATCTAGTCGAGGCCCTTCCAAACATTGTTCTTGATGACTTGGGTGAAAACCACCCATGCTCCTTAAGCCAGCGCCTCCGAACGAACACAATACATGATACACTCTCAGTGAAGGGAGGGTTGTATGTTGGAGAGAATGTTATAGTCACTGCAAAAATGCATGACATCTTGAAAATCCCCTCAAAGTCAGACACAGAAACGGTTCAAGATATTTTCATTCACCGTTTGAATAGCCACGCATTGACAGACTCTGTGCATTCGATCAGTGGAATCAGCTGTTGTTCTCAAACCCGATATGAAGGTGATCCCACGCATTGTCTCTGTGTCAGCGTTGATGGAGAAATATTTCCTAAAGATGTCTGGACTTCGGCGAATCAGACCGCAAGATTAGTCAGACAGACAGCATACGGTGTCTCAAACACCATACGGGCAAAACAAGATCATTCCTTTCTAGCACCAAGAATTGCTCATTATGTCATGTACGACTCAAGAAAATTTGAGTTCTCTCATTACCTAAGTGTACTTAGTTGCCTCCATGTTGCTGGCTTGGAACGGGTGGTATTGCATGGCAATGTGGAACCATCAAGTCAGTGGTGGAAGCATTTAAGGGTTGAGGAGAACGTTACTTTCTCTTACACCGACCCAACAAACCAAATCTACGGCCAAAACATAACTCAATTCCCACAACATAAATCGGACATCACTAAATTTTACGTCTTACTCAAATACGGCGGCATAAGCGTAGACCCTGATGTGTATTGGGTCAATAGAATTCCTGATGACATCCTTTCATATGACGCCGTGTTGTCCAAAGACTGGCTGAAGAGATTGGACTGGCCAGATACCCTTAATATAGGTGTCTTCATTGCAAAACCTAATACGCAGTTCCTGTATAACTTTCTCCGGGCTTATAGGAGGAACTATCGACCCTATCTGTATATTTATAACGGGGGGTGTGTGCCCTATAAGGTGTATGAGAAATATCCCCAGTCTCTCCACGTGGATCCTCATTTACAAGTCTTGACCTTTGGACCGACGTATCATCCAACATGGCGGTCTGGGTATTTGCATGACAGTTCCGGAAATATGGGAAATAACTCTTTTGATTGGCGGAAAGACACGTTAGCTGTGCACGTGACCGACCCGAAGCCGGCTTCCGAGTTTGAGGGTGTGGTGAGACTTAAAAGAGCTGAAGGGATGTTTGCTGACATTGGTCGGTATATTATAAAAAAGGCTTTAAAAGAAGACATGTTTGGCCCAAGATAAGGTTCATCTTACGCTATGACCACATGAACACTTCAAGCGACTTGTGGGTATTCTGAGGTCACTGTGTTTCATGCTTGTCAACTACAGTGAGGACTGCAGGGTCAGACTGTGTGACGCTGATTGAATGCGTATCATAGGACCCCGACAGCGTGGATCGTTGGTCTTGATTTCAGTCTGCCATGATCCATCTAGAAAGTTGCGAACTGCGACGTTAAACAAAACTGACTCTCGGCTACGTTTTTTAAAGATGGATAACTCCCGATCCCCTTCTCTTACGGCAATTCTGACAAACAACGGACCTATTCTGACCCGGAATCCACACAAAAATAATTGTCAAGAAACTACATCCAGTTGTAGTAACAATGTCTCTGCATAGTGTTTGATTACAAACTGTTCACATTTTATCCCCCTGTATGTACATGCCTATCCGTCACTATTGTTGAGTCTGGATCTCTGTAAATGCGAGTGTCATACAGATTACACGAAACTAAATGTCTCATGGACAAATGTAACGTTACATATTTAAAAATATAATATAAAGCCATCTATGTACATGTACACTAATAAAGATAAATTTTATATAAGAACAAGCATAAGTTGAAATAAATTTTAATTTATAAATTATTATGTTGATTATTTATCAATTGAGATTTCTGGGCTGGTCAATCAACAGGAAGACCAAGCTTATCACCAGAGCCTTCTTTTATAGACCTGTCTGGCAACTGTTGTAGACCTGTCTGACAACTGTTGTAGACCTGTCTGACAACTGTTGTAGACCTGTATGGCAACTGTTGTAGACCTGTCTGGCAACTGTTATAGGCCTGTCTGGCAACTGTTATAGACCTGTCTGGCAACTGTTGTAGACCTGTCTGGCAACTGTTGTAGACCTGTCTGGCAACTGTTATAGACCTGTCTGGCAACTGTTGTAGATCTGTCTGGCAACTGTTATAGACCTGTCTGGCAACTGTTATAGACATGTCTGGCAACTGTTATAGGCCTGTCTGGCAACTGTTGTAGACCTGTCTGGCAACTGTTGTAGACCTGTCTGGCAACTGTTATAGGCCTGTCTGGCAACTGTTATAGGCCTGTCTGGCAACTGTTATAGACCTGTCTGGCAACTGTTGTAGACCTGTCTGACAACTGTTGTAGACCTGTCTGACAACTGTTGTAGACCTGTCTGACAACTTTTATAGACCTGTCTGGCAACTGTTATAGACCTGTCTGGCAACTGTTGTAGACCTGTCTGACAACTGTTGTAGACCTGTCTGACAACTGTTGTAGACCTGTCTGACAACTGTTATAGACCTGTCTGGCAACTGTTATAGACCTGTCTGGCAACTGTTGTAGATCTGTCTGGCAACTGTTATAGACCTGTATGGCAACTGTTATAGACCTGTCTGGCAACTGTTGTATCTGGCAAAGGGGTAAAACCAGTATAACCACAGACTTGCTTGAGGCTGTTCCTTGCAAGTACACGGCGATAATGGTGAGTGTTATATTTGTGTTTTGGCATCATTTGTTTTGATAGTTCTAATTTCAAAAACGAAGTAATGTTAGGTTTAGGTTTGCTTTTTGAAAGCATTACTGAGGTCTTGAATGTTGTAACCTTGAGCACACAACTTTGGATCAAGAGTTGTATGACATCTATGAAATCTTGGTAGAAAGAGCATGCTCGATTGTACCTCAAAAGTCGTGAAATGTAGACACCAAAGGCTTCAGCTGTTGGAATACTTCTCGACATAAAGGGGAAGTTAGCTATTGGAAAGTTGAAGTCATCTCTCTTACCATACAGTCTTGAGGAGAGTGTCTTGTCAATCTTTATACTTAGATCTGAATATGAAACAGATAAGGCTGTTTCACTGGTATCCTGTATTTCTAGTTTAGGTGGGTAAATCAGTGGAAGGGAATTGGCTATTTGACCGTTATTCAATGATATCAGATCATCGATATATCTGAAGCTTAAGATAATTGTCTTGGCCAAATTGTCTTTTGATTTTACCAATACGAGCAGACGTTTCCGATTCATATGCACAAACGCACATATAATTATCATTTTCCTTAATTGAGTATTGAGAATTTCATGTAGATCCTTATTACCTGTACACACTGTCTCTCTGACTTGAACATATGGGTGGGTAGACACATAGTTTGACACAGTGGATAAGGAGGTTGACGGGGGATAAGGTGGTTGACAGGGGATAGGGAGATAGACAGAGAATAGGGAAGTTGATAAGGAGGTTGATGGCGGATAAGGAGGTTGACACAGGGGATAGGGAGGTAGACAGAGAATGAGGAGGTTGACAGGGACAAGGAGGTTGACGGGTGATAGGGAGGTAGACAGAGAATAAGGAGGTTGACGGGTGATAGGGAGGTAGACAGAGAATAAGGAGGTTGACGGGTGATAGGGAGGTAGACAGAGAATAAGGAGGTTGACGGGTGATAGGGAGGTAGACAGAGAATAAGGAGGTTGACGGGTGATAGGGAGGTAGACAGAGAATAAGGAGGTTGACGGGTGATAGGGAGGTAGACAGAGAATAAGGAGGTTGGCGGGGAATAAGGAAGTTGACAGGGGATAGGAGGTAGACAGAGAATAAGGAGGTTGGCGGGGAATAAGGAGGTTGACGGGTGATAGGGAGGTAGACAGAGAATAAGGAGGTTGGCGGGGAATAAGGAGGGTGACAAGGGATAGGAGGTAGACAGAGAATAAGGAGGTTGGCGGGGAATAAGGAGGTTGACAGGGGATAGGAGGTAGACAGAGAATAAGGAGGTTGGCGGGGAATAAGGAGGTTGACAAGGGATAGGAGGTAGACAGGGGATAGGGAGGAAGACAGAGAATAAGGAGGTTGATGGCGGATAAGGAGGCTGATGGCGGATAAGGAGGCTGTTGGCGGATAAAGAGGTTGATGGGATAGGGAGGTTGACAGGAGATATGAGGTGAGTTGAAATGGGGTTTAACGTCGCGTTCAATAACGTGCATGCAGGCAGGGTAACACCAAGTACCATTTTAACGCATTTTGTTATGATGCGGCCTGGAATCGGCAGACACTCTACCATTAGAACACAGAGGCAGTCGTAGAAGGCACGAATCTAGACACAAGGGATAAGGAGGTTGACACAGGGGATAAGGAGGTTGATATGAGATAATAAGGTTGGTAGTGGATTAGGAGGTTGACATAGGGTTAAGAAGGTTGAAACAGGGAATACGAAGTTTGACAGGTATCAGCAGGTACTTGAAATAGAATACACCTCTGTCCCAGGGATAGTCTTCAGAAAGTAGGCCTCACCAAGGGATACTCTACAGAAAGTAGGCCTCACCCAGGGATATTCTACAGAAAGTTACCCTCACCCAGGGATAGTCTTCAGAAAGTAGGCCTCACCCAGGGATATTCTACAGAAAGTAGGCCTCACCCAGGGATACTCTACAGAAAGTAGGCCTCACCCAGGGATATTCTACAGAAAGTAGGCCTCACCCAGGGATACTCTACAGAAAGTAGGCCTCACCCAGGGATATTCTACAGAAAGTAGGCCTCACCCAGGGATACTCTACAGAAAGTAGGCCTCACCCAGGGATATTCTACAGAAAGTAGGCCTCACCCAGGGATACTCTACAGAAAGTAGGCCTCACCCAGGGATACTCTACAGAAAGTAGGCCTCACCAAGGGATATTCTACAGAAAGTTACCCTCACGCAGGGATAGTCTTCAGAAAGTAGGCCTCACCCAGGGGATATTCTACAGAAAGTAGGCCTCACCCAGGGATATTCTACAGAAAGTAGGCCTCACCCAGGGATACTCTACAGAAAGTAGGCCTCACCCAGGATATTCTACAGAAAGTTACCCTCACCCAGGGATAGTCTTCAGAAAGTAGGCCTCACCCAGGGATATTCTACAGAGGTAGGCCTCACCCAGGGATATTCTACAGAAAGTAGGCCTCACCCAGGGATACTCTACAGAAAGTAGGCCTCACCCAGTGATATTCTAAAGAAAGTAGGCCTCACCAAGGGATATTCTACAGAAAGTAGGCCTCACCCAGGGATATTCTACAGAAAGTAGGCCTCACCCAGGGATATTCTACAGAAAGTTACCCTCACCCAGGGATAGTCTTCAGAAAGTAGGCCTCACCCAGGGATATTCTACAGAAAGTAGGCCTCACCCAGGGATATTCTACAGAAAGTAGGCCTCACCCAGGGATATTCTACAGAAAGTAGGCCTCACCCAGGGATATTCTACAGAAAGTAGGCCTCACCCTGGGATATTCTACAGAAAGTTACCCTCACCCAGGGATATTCTACGGAAAGTGCCCCTCACCCAGGGATATTCTACAGAAAGTTACCCTCACCCAGGGATATTCTACAGAAAGTAGGCCTCACCCAGGGATATTCTACAGAAAGTAGGCCTCACCCAGGGATATTCTACAGAAAGTAGGCCTCACCCAGGGATATTCTACAGGAAGTAGGCCTCACCCAGGGATATTCTACAGAAAGTAGGCCTCACCCAGGGATATTCTACAGAAAGTTACCCTCACCTAGGGATATTCTACGGAAAGTGCCCCTCACCCAGGGATATTCTACAGAAAGTAGGCCTCACCCATGGATATTCTACAGAAAGTAGGCCTCACCCAGGGATATTCTACAGAAAGTAGCCCTCACCCAGGGATATTCTACAGAAAGTAGCCCTCACCCAGTGATATTCTACAGGAAGTAGGCCTCACCCAGGGATATTCTACAGAAAGTAGGCCTAACCCAGTGATATTCTACAGAAAGTGCCCCTCACCCAGTGATATTCTACAGAAAGTAGGCTTCACCCAGGGATATTCTATAGAAAGTGTCCCTCACCCAGTGATATTCTACAGAAAGTAGGCTTCACCCAGGGATATTCTACAGAAAGTGCCCCTCGCCCAGGGATATTCTACAGAAAGTGCCCCTCGCCCAGTGATATTCTACAGAAAGTAGGCCTCACCCAGGGATATTCTACAGAAAGTGCCCCTCAGCCAGGGATATTCTACGGAAAGTGCCCCTCGCCCAGGGATATTCTACAGAAAGTAGGCCTCACCCAGGGATATTCTACAGAAAGTGTCCCTCACCCAGGGATATTCAACAGAAAGTAGGCCTCACCCAGGGATATTCTACAGAAAGTAGGCTTCACCCAGGGATATTCTACAGAAAGTGCCCCTCGCCCAGGGATATTCTACGGAAAGTGCCCCTCGCCCAGTGATATTCTACAGAAAG